CCGTGGCCGAGTGGCCAGTTCCTGTCAACAGGAAAAAAACTACAGCAGTTCCTGGGGTTTGCACATTTTTATAGACGTTTCATCAGAAATTTCAGTTCTATTGCTTCCCCGCTACATGTACTTACCTCTCCTCATGTCCCTTTTGAATGGAACTCCAAAGCTGCTAATGCTTTTCAAGCTCTAAAGGAAATGTTCACCTCTACTCCCATCCTCACCATCCCAGATCCACTTTGACAGTTCGTGGTAGAGGTGGATGCCTCTAACCTCGGTGTGGGGGCAGTTCTCTCTCAGCGGGCTGCAAAGGATAATAAGCTCCATCCCTGCGCTTATCTCTCACGTAAGTTGTCCCCAGCGGAAAGGAACTACGACGTGGGCAATCGTGAACTACTGGCAGTGAAACAAGCCTTGGAGGAGTGGAGACATTGGCTAGAGGGGGCCGCTCAGCCGTTCCTGGTATGGACAGACCATAAGAACCTCGAATACATAAAAAAGGCTAGGAGAATTCACGCCAGGCTAGATGGACACTTTTTTTCAGTCGTTTTGATTTTACCTTGTCATTTAGACCTGGCTCCCAGAACACCAAGCCAGATGCCTTGTCCCGTCTGTTTGACCCTGAGCCTGCTGCCAAGGAACCAGAACCCATCCTACCACTGAACCGTGTGGTAGGAGCGGTAACTTGGCAGATAGAAAAAGAGGTGCAGCAAGCAAATGTTGAGAGCCCAGCACCTAGGGAGGGTCCGCCTCATAGGCTGTTTGTTACAGTGCCCTTACGCTCCAAGATCATTCACTGGGCTCACACGTCCTTGCTCACTTGTCATCCTGGGGTTAGAGGAACCATGTTCGCACTTAAGCAGCGTTTCTGGTGGCCGTCCATGGCTAAAGATGTTGGTGAATATGTGAATGCCTGTCCTGTTTGTGCTCGCAGCAAAACTTCTTCCAGGTCTCGGGCTGGGTTGCTGCAGCCGTTGCCCATTCCTCAACGGCCCTGGTCTGACATATCCATGGATTTTGTTACTAGACTCCCGGTGTCTCAAGGTAATACCACTGTGCTAACAGTGGTAGATCGTTTTTCTAAAATGACTCATTTTATTCCATTGACCAAGCTACCCTCGGCCAAGGAAACGGCGGAAATTATGATGGTCAATGTGTTCCAGATACATGGATTTCCCAGGGATATTGTGTCAGACCGGGGCCCACAGTTTGTTTCCAAGTTCTGGAAAGAGTTCTGCAGTCTCATTGGAGCGACCGCTAGCCTCTCCTCTGGGTATCACCCCCAGTCCAATGGACAAACGGAGAGATTAAATCAAGTGTTGGAGACATGTCTGAGGTGCTTGGTGGCTCAGAATCCCTCATCGTGGAGCAAGCATCTAACCTGGGTGGAATACGCCCACAATTCTCTTCCCACCTCTGCCACAGGTCTGACTCCCTTCCAGTGCGTCTTTGGCTACCAACCACCTGTGTTTGCTGAGACTGAAAAGGAGGTCTTGGTCCCGTCTGCACATGCCCTGGTCAGACGTTGCCACCGCATCTGGGCGGCTGCCCGTCGAACCCTTCTAAGGAGTTCTTCTTCAATGAAAAGGGGGGCTGACCGACACCGCCGGCCAGCTCCAGTGTACCAGCCTGGGCAGAAGGTGTGGTTGTCCACGAAAGTTCTACCCCTCCATGTCGCTTCAAGAAAATTAGCCCCCAGGTTTGTTGGTCCCTTTCCAATAACGAAGATTGTGAACCCTGTGTCTGTGCGCCTGCGACTCCCCAGGTCCTCTGCGGGTCCATCCTACATTCCACGTTGGGAAGATCAAGCCTGTCAAGGAAAGCAGTTTGGTGCCCGCAACCAAACCGCCGCCACCCCCCAGAATTGTTGATGGTGGCCTTGTTTATACGGTCAAGAAACTGCTGGCAGTCCAGAGAAGGGGACGTGGCAAGCAGTTCCTCGTTGACTGGAAAGGCTATGGAGCAGAGGATAGGATGTGGATCCCTTCTCGCTACGTTGTGGATCAGGAGTTGAACAGGGATTTCTACAGGCAACATCCTAATCTGCTTGGGCCGTCAGGAGACGTCCCTAGAGGGCGGGGTAATGTTGTGACTCGACAGATATGTTAGGTTTAGTTATGTTTTACTCTAGTTTTGTGTTTTGATCTTGTCACTTCTTGTTTTTATTTTGAAAGTAATCTTTCCTTTCATTCCAGATCCTACATTTCCTGCCTTTGTGTGTTTCCTGCCCGTGAGATTGCTTGGCCCTGCCCTGATTGTTTTCACCTGTGCCCATCCCCCTCACCTATATATAGCCCTGGTGTTTCTTTGTTCCTTTGTCAGTTTGTTATGTTTCATGTTGTGAGCACCTAGGCCTTTTGACACCTGATACCTACCTTGCGATTTAGACCTTTTGCCAAGTGAGTTTTTGTGTTGCTGTACAAGTTAGTTTTGGCTGTTTAACTACTTTCTATTTTTTGAAAGTACGATTTCGTTTTTGTTATTAAAGAACATTCTATTTTTGGACAACTGTCTCCGAGTCCTGCTTTTGGGTCCTGTGTCTCGGTTCATTACAACAACAACAACAACAAAACGAACAAAATTCAAGAAGAAGAAAAGTTAGTATGGCGATTTCAGATAACACACAGGAGCTAGAACCCACCTGCTTCTTTTAAATCAGCTGTGTGGGAACATTTCGGGTTCCCTGTGGACTACAATAACGATGGAGTGCGAGTGGTGGATTGGACGAGGACACATGCTAAATCATATCAGAAGGCATCACCCAGATCTGCCAATCACCGGCACCCGGCAAAAGACAGCAGCAGTTCAACAGCTTTCCCCGCTGTTTTTAATAAACCAATAGACATGAAAGCCGAGAGACCAAAATAAATAACGGAAGCTATTGGCATATATATTTCAACGGCTGTGCGCTCTTGAAACAATTTCTTATTATTTATCATGTAATATTTTCAAGACATTCTTTTTAGTTTTGCAGCTTGATGAAACCTTTTTGTTTGACATCAGCCATTATAGATAATATGGCCATATGAGTGTGTGTGGTACTGTTTGTGGTTTGTTTTTAACAGTGTAATACAGTTAATTATTCAAAATGTTAGAGTTCCTTATTTTTAAACTGAAACTTGCACTACTGTTCAAAAATAAATAAGAACAAACCTGGAATTATGCATTTGGGACTTTTTTTTTGCTTTTTCTTGTTGTACCGAACCCGTACCGAACCGTGACCCCCAAACCGAGGTACGAACCGAACCGTGACTTCTGTGAACCGTTACACCCCTACGAGGAACACATTATAATTTGTACCTCACTACATTTATTTGATACATAAAGTTGCTATTCTGCAGATTTAGACTATTTATATAATACACTATACAAATTAACAAAAATGTAATTAGATTTTGTTATTATTTATTTAGCTACCTAGCAGTAAAAAAGGTAAATGTTCGTATCCCAAACAATACCAACTGACCTATTACAGTTCTGTAATATAATTAATATGAATCTTAAACAGACTTTAGCGTACGGTACTTGAAGTGTATTTATAAACTATACTTGTAGTGTTGTCATTTGGCATGTATCTTGCTTTGTTATAGACAACTCAGGAGACAGCGAGTATCGTTAACTGTCCTTTATTCCCGCTCTGTACTACCTAATAACAGGTGTCACACATATCACATTCCAGGTATCCACAACTCCGGACCAAATAGTATGTCACAACATTACATCCCTCCCTTATTTCAGATGAACATTGACTTTTGATATTAACGAAATGTAAATAAGAATTTCAGTAAGAAAGGTCTCTTATTCTTAGTAATCAAATAAATAAATGAATATCTCAATGTTTTAACTTAAATGACTAGGTCTTCTTTGTCACTAGCAAAATGTCCTTTTTGTAATTGTTCAACTATCTGCAGTCTCTTGACTTCTTTAAGTCATATTTCAGCAATGAGACGTTGTGGTGGTCTCCTGTTTGTTCTGCTTGAATATCTGGTTGGAACAGGGCCTTCGGGGTTGATATTCTCGTTTTGGAGCTGATGAGTTTCCTCATCTGGTGGGTCAGGAAGTTGTAGATCCAGATCATCCTCTTCGTCAGTCATTCCTGAGTCAGATCCAATAGGAACTGAAGGTGGGAGCAGTTTGAAGTATGAGGAGTTTCGTGTTATCTCATGTCCTGGGCGAGCTGCTGTCACCATTGATCCTCTGATCTTCACGATGGTGTACGGTTTGCTTCCATAAGGAGTCATGAGCTTGCCTTTGATATTCTGACGGCATAGCACAATGTCACCTGGTTTGAGGATAGAAGGTTGAGCTCTGTTTTTGTGGTCGGCATGCTCTTTCATGCGCTGCTTGGCACGCTGATCAATATCTTGGAGTTTGGTGTCAGGTGTGTGATGTTGAGTCACATGAAGAGCGGGGAGAGTGGTGTTGAGTTTTCTCCCAAACATTAACTCGGCTGGAGTCAGCTGTGTAGTACCGTGTGGGGATGCACGGTCATTTCTAAGAAAACTGTAGAGGTTCTGTTTCCATGGTTTTCCTTCAGTGTGTGCGGCTGTTATTGTTTTATTCAATGTTTTCATGAAGCGTTCAGCTTCTGCATTAGCTCTCGGCCAATACGGTGTTATTTTTCAGTGTTTGAATCCGAGATAGTGGCTGAAATCTTTGAACGGCTGTCCATTGAATGGAGGTCCATTATCTGTTTTCACCACATGTGGGATACCATAGGATGAGAAGATTCTGTCCAGTTTGGGAATCACTGTAGTGGCTGCTGTGGACTTTAGTATCTCAACTTCGGGGAACCTGGAATACTCATCAATAACCACAAGCAGGTAATCACCTGATGGGAAAGGTCCTGTAAAGTCAATAGAAACATTTTGCCATGGACCTTTGGGAAGTTCAGACATATTAAGTGGTTCCATGTGATTCTGGGAGGTTGCTGCTTGACATGGTATACAGTGTTTTATCATATTTTCCACCATTTCATCTATGCCTGGAAACCATACATTTTCTCTTACCAGTTGTTTGGTCTTAACAATGCCAAGATGACCGGCATGGGCTAGGCTTATTGCCTTACGTTGGAGAGAGGTAGGTAGCACAAGTCGTGTTCCTCTGAGGATGACATTCTCTCCAGCGTTGACTGTCAGTTCGTTTCGTAGGCGGTAGAGTGCTTTCAGCATTGGATAATCAGTGTAGTCTGAATCCTGTGGTGCATGTCTCCAGTGTCCTGCACTCAAAAAATGCATCACTTTACATAATGTAGGATAATTCTTTGTTTCTGTTTGAACTTCTTCAAGTGTCATTGCCTTTGGAACAACATTGTCAATGACAAAGTTGACATATTCCTCAGCCCAGAGATGTTCACAAGTCTCTTTTTGCAAGTCCAAGTCAAGTCTCAAGTCTTTGGTCACGAGTCCAAGTCTCAAGTCTTTGGTCACGAGTCCAAGTCAAGTCTCAAGTCTCTAAAAAATAAAAGTCTCATGTCTCTTCTGGTTGTAATAAGCCTTCTATTGTCTGCTGCTATCCAGTCTATTAAGAATACTGCACAGCTATATCTAAGAAATTCAAAGCATTTACTCTATTATTATCACTCCTATATCTATTAGCATACAGTATCAGTACTGATTAGTTGTTTGCTAATTGATCACTTTAAACAGGCTATTGCAATGCAATATGAGGAAAAATATCACACTTTAGCTAATTGCAAACAACTAAGCAAAACACGTCAGAATCAGAAATCAGTATCACAAATACTTTATTAGTCCCCCGCAGGGAAACTGTGTTAAAAGTACTTAAAAGTAAACATTTGTTCTCTGCCATTTGCAACTAAAAAACTATTGCTGCAATATTATCTGAAATATACTGAACTGGTGATATTAAAACATGACCTGTTCCAAAAGAGATATCTACCATTAACACCATTTACCAGCCAAATGCTGGTAAATCATGCAAGTGGCTGGTACTGCATGTTGCACGCACCAGCCAAACATAACAATGGCAATCTATTGAGTGGCTGGTAACATTTCAACATTCACTAGGCTAGCCATTTGGCCAGTGGACAAAAATGTTAAAATGTGACCTCTGCAACCGTATTGTTTAATTACACTGTGTCTCTAATGACATCTTTTAAGTCTACTATAAATAAACATATTCCTCTATCCTCTCACTCAAACCCAGTGTAATGGTAACCTGATAAACCTGTAACATTAACGTTACGTGGTCAACAATAAACCTGTAACCTGCCTATAAACCGACAGATGTATTTATGTATGTAACTATGTATTTTTCTACGTTTAACGTTAGCCAGTAGATGGTGGCAGCGGAACGTAATGATTAACGTTACCGACCTTTTTTATGTCATGTCAAGAGTTGGATGTCAACGCCACTCAACGCAAACAAGTGTGACAAGCAAACATTCACTCCTCTTTTCAAATATTCAGTTACAAATCTAGTAGCAAGCTAAGTTAACATTACATAGCTGATGCTGAGCTAAACATGTTTGCTAACCGTACATATGCGTTAATGTGACTGACCTCTCCGGGTGAGTTTTCAAGTGCCTGATGAAATTTGACATTGTTGCACCAGCATCCTTGATTTTAATATTGCAGACTTTGCAGTGTGCGCTGCTTTTGTTGTTGCCGCCGGCGTTTTGTTCGAAGTTTTTATAGTTGAACCTAATTACAAGCGGTACAGCTGCAGGTGTGCCGCCGGTCGCCATGGTGTTACCATGATGTTAATGTTAATGTTAAAGGTGGGGTAGGTAAGTTTGAGAAACCGGCTCGAGATACACTTTTTGTTATATTCCATGGAATGCTCTTAACATCCCGATACCCGGCCCGGCTAAAATAACTGGATGGCCTACCTGCCTGTCAGCCTCCCATCGGGGCACAAACTTATCTCGTGCCCTCATTGGTCATGTGTGCGTTCGTGTGTGTTGGAGGAGGGGCTCTGTGAGGAAGTGGCAGATTTTCTCCGGTTGTGTATTTTCTAATTCTAGCGATCTCGAGCCGGTTTCTCAAACTTACCTACCCCACCTTTAATACGCCAAAAATAGAAAACACAATGATTGTTCACGAGTCCCAAAACTCGAGTCCGAAGTCTTTTGAGCAGGAATCCAAGTCAAGTCTGAAGTCTCTGTGTGTGCGACTTAAGTGCGACTCGAGTCCGAGTCACAGACTCGAGTCCCCATCTCCGCCTCAGCCATGCGAGATGATCTGCTTGGTATGTTTCCCTCAATAGGATGTCTGGACATGTAATCGGCAGGGTTATCTTTTCCAGCTTTGTACTTGATAATGTAGCTGTATGGTTGTAGTCTAACCGAGCTGGGGGTGTGGCTTTTGGGTTGTTGAAGATCAGTTCAAGCGGTTTGTGATCTGTGATAACAGTGAAGTGTGACCCATAGAGATATAGGTGGAAGTGTTCACATGCCCAGAGGATTGCCAGAGCTTCTCTCTCTGTTTGAGAATAGCGCTGTTCCACTGGTGTGAGTGCTCGGCTGGCATATGCAACAATGTTGTCATTACCCTCTTTGTCAGGGCTGTGCTGGCTGAGTATGGCACATAGACCAACAGGGCTGGCATCAACCAGTAGTTTGGATTTCTTCCTTGGGTCAAAGTAAGCCATTGTAGTGTTTTCCATCAGCTCTGATTTTAGCCTCTCCATTGCCGACTGTTGTTGTGGTCCCCAAGTAGTGTATTTTGTTGTTAGTTGACGTAAAGGTTCAGAGATCGTGGCATAGTTATGAATGAAACGTGAGCAGGATGTTATCATCCCGAGCAGACTGCGAACCTCTGATGCGTTTTGGGGTGGAGGAAGGTTCTTGATGGCAGTGATCTTTTTAGGATCTGTAGATATGCCTTTTGCAGAAAAAATATAGCCAAAGAACTCAAGCTCTGGTTTACTTTATTCACATTTATCAGCATTGAGTGTGATATTTTTCTCCCTCAGTCTCTGAAAAACAGCTTTGAGGCTATTGTTGTGCTCTTCTTGTGTTTTCCCATACACAATGATGTCATCACTCATGTTCCTGACGTTGGGAATACCATGTAGCACTCCTTGAATGACATTTTGGAACACTTCAGCGGCAGAGTTAATGCCAAAGTTCAGTCTGGTGTACCTCCAGAGGCCAGTGTGTGTAGTGAAGGTGGTGATATACCTTGAATCTGGATGTAGCTCAAGTTGATGGTATCCAGCATTCAGATCCAGCTTGGAGAATACTACAGCTCCATTCAGGTCGTGGATGAGGTCATCTACAGTTGGTGTGATGTGGCGCTCTCGCTGTATTGCTGTGTTCGGCAGGCGCATATCCACACAGATGCGAACTTTGTCAGGGTTCTTTGGTTTTGGTGTAGCAACTATCGGAGACACCCATCGCGTTGGGCCGCTGATTCTCTCGATGACTCCTTTTTCCTGTAGCTGGTTTAATTCTGATTCCACTCTTTTTCTCATGTGGAAATGAATCCTCCTGTGTGGCTGTGTCACAGGTTTCACTGACTCATCAATGTGTAGCTTCACTTGAAAATATTTGAGTTTTCCTATGCCTTGAAAGATTTCTTGGTACTCATAGAGGAGCTGGTTTGGGGATGAAATAGGCATTTCTGTGGACATAGAGTTCACAACTTTCAGAAGTCCTAGTTCTGTTGCTGTCTTTCGACTCAGCAGTGAGCCATGGTCACCCTGTATCACATAGAATGTAGCTGCATTTACTGTGGAAGTAGTTGAATGGACTGCAGCTTTAAATGTTCCTCTCAAAGGAAGAGCAGTGGATGAGCCATAAGGATAGATCTTGGCAGCAGATGGTTGCAGTTCACAACTGGCTTTTAGCTCTTCATAGGAAACATCATCTAATATGTTCACTGTCGCACCAGAGTCAACAATAACATGTATTATTGTGTCCACCATTTTTATTTGTGTACGTTTGTGTCCTGCATTGTCTTGCAGTGCATACAACATACACATAGTCATCTTCTGCTGAGCTGTCTGGAGTGTCTGGTCTCTGTGTCTTTTGCTCAGTTTGTTTCTGCACTTGATGCACTTTGTATTTTGGTCGGTAATGTTGTTGTTTTTCTGCAGCTTTAGGCATATAATCTTTGTTTTGTGATCTGCAGCATCTTTGGAAATGATTTAATTTTCCACATGCTTTACAATCTTTCCCCGCTTTGCTGGGCAGTTTGCTTGTCCTCCCTCATGAGGAAAGTGTCCACCACAGTTGTTGCAGGTTTTGTATTCATGCTTCACATTATTATATTTATTGAATTGTGTATGACTTTGGAAGCTTTTCTTTTGTACAGCATGCACTGGGAATTATTTTTGTGATCTTCCTGTCTCCATACCTGCAGCTTGTTTGTCTGACAGTTCTTGAGCTCTGCCTGCATCCAGTAGTTTTTGAAGTGTCATATCGCTGTCCTTTAGCGCCGCCCTGCGGAGGCGTGCGGAACAGCAGCTTAGAATAATCTGCGACTTTATTTCCTTATCAGTGTCGGTAAAGTCACATGTTGACGCCAACTGTCTCAGTCGCGTGTGGAAAGCATCCAATGTCTCACTGTCATTTTGCCTGGCTTGTCTGAAAATATAGATCTCATATTCAGGATTTACTTTACTATGGACATCAGTATTTTTGATACTCGAGTAATCGAGCTTGATTTAAAAAATGTAACCCGAATGAAAAGAAAAATGAATTTGAGTATTCAACTCTTGAAAGGTTCCTCATGAGTCATTATTCTCTTTTATGGTTGCCACTAAGTCATTTTTTTACATTTTCATTTGCTGCCTTGTGCCACAGCGGTGTCCAAATTCAACTTTTCTGAAAACATGGGGGCCTGGGGCAATGCCAGAAGCTGGACCCGCTGTCCCCTGTCCCTGAATATTTCAACCGTGTCCCAGTTTGGTGTCACGATAAAGCAGAATGCACAATAACAAGCTCCGTCATGGGACTGCTGACTTATTTAGCTTTGATATGAAGAAAGACAAGAAGAAGTAAGAAAACTAACAAAACAGATGGAAAAAAAGGAGCATATTTAGGAAAAAACAGATTTAGGGGGATGAAGAGGGTAGGAACGTAGTCTCTCAGACCCTCTCAACTTGTCTTGAATGAGGTAGTTTTTTAAGTCGATGGTCTGTTTAGCTCATGCTGCCCGCCGGCTGTAGCAGGCAGCTACAGTGAGAGAATTATTTATGAATACATCTAGTGTGTCCGACTGCACGCCTGCCAGCTAGCCCACCGGTTAGAACCACTGGACATGCACATTCTCTGGAGTCTGAGCCCTGACTCACTGTCTGCAGAATAATAATGGAACGCTGATAAATATT